GCTACGGATGGGGTCTACGCCAAATAATTCTGTTTTTTATGTCTTGGTTTTGTAAAATAAATTATTTTGAATCTTATCACCTCCCGAGTCTTTCTGGTGGAACTATGAAAAGGTTCCTCCGGTGCGAAAGGGGCTTAACATCGTTTTGTAAAATAAATTATTTTGAATCTTATCACCTCCCGAGTCTTTCTGGTAGAAATATACAGAAATTGAAACTGAAGTTATCAAACACTAAATTCTAAATTAAATATAGATGAATCCTTAAAGCTATAAAAGTTATTGATTTCCTCTTTTTTCTTTTTTTCTTTGATTAACAGACATCACAGCAGCTGGTTATTAGGTTGTTTTGGCTGCTATTTTTTAAGAGCTGCTGCTGCTGCTGAACGTGATGCAGATCTGGCACGCATCGTATTTTCTCTCAACTCTCTTTACATTTTCTGACTCACTTCAGGTCTTAAAGTCTCTACTAATGAACTGACGAGTTGAATCGGGTGTTAGATGAGGGAGACAGTGCTGGGATGCTCCAGGACAGTTTTGAAAACCATTTCAGAGACATGTTCTTAAATGTGACTCATATAAATATTACATGCATGCACCGTTTTAAGGCAGCTTTGATCACCTTTTTGGTAACTTAAAGACTTAAGCCGGGCTCACACTACAGGATTTTTAGCCCAATTTAGCCCCGATGTTACCCTCCTGAGAATCGGCGCAAAAATCTTTTCGAGCACATCGATCGGTCCCGATTTTCGGTGCGGATTATCTGGTCATTACCAGATCGGGAGGTGCAAGATTCAATCTTTAAATGCCTCACATTTGAGGCATTTAAAGATCGAATCTTGCACCACACGATCTGCTCGCACACAAATCTGGGCCACCCCAATCATATCAAACATGTTTGATATTTAAGATTTAAATAGGGATGATGACGACTATATGATTACGTCAGTACTTTCACAATAGCCAATGCGCGACCGCAAAACAGCTGATGTACGGCTCCATTGGAGACGGAGGAAACTGCTTCTTGACGTTTTGTAGTAAAGCGACTGTCTGTATAATGTGTCGAAACGTATCACAACCGTAATGAGAAAGAGAAGTGCTGGGGTGAAATCACCTCAGATTTGAACGTACCGGGTGAGTGCACAAAGCTGCTTGCACGCTAGCTAACATATGTAAACATTACTGACAAGCTGCTGTGTGAGATCACGTGAGGCGCTCCCACTGGCATGATAATCTTAATAATATCTTGTAGTGTGTGATGCGCCATGATTTTCAAATCTTGTAGTGTGTGCATGTTTAAGATTTGAGGAAAGATAATCTCTGTGCAAAGATTCTCCTTATGTGTGTGCTGCAACAAGATTTCATAATCGGTTAGGACTTTAAAACTCCTATAGTGTGAGCCCGGCTTTATCTGACCACGACATTGTATGCACATAGTTTCTTTCGCGATCTCATATGAAATGATACAGGGTACGGCGTGCGCCGGCACCTTTGTGTGTGCAATTGAAGAGCATGCGCTGTGAGCACAGTACCATTTCCGTGCTCGTTTGACTCGTGCGTAGCAGATCTATTCCGCCAAGACCAAATACAGTATCTCACAGAAGTGAGTACACCCCTCACCTTTTTGTAAATATAGGGGAAGGTGGAGGGTTTCTGAAGGAAGCTGCAACTGCTACGGCAAGCACTAGTCATATATTTGAATGTTGAGCAGCGAGCTCATAGGCCACCGATACAGGAGAGAACAAATCAGCTGTGCCATGTGATGATGTGATTAGGTCAGATTGAGTTAGACCTATCGGACTGCGCCATCTAGAGTTTCATGCCAGAACTCTGTATTTCTGTGACTGGATTACATTATTTTAACACTGATTTTAGTCAAGATTTGCTTTTAAGCCTAATGGAAATCAAGCGCAAGGCAAAAAGTTCAAGAAATAGAGATGCCACTCTAATCGGTGCTCCACAATGGTGGAAAAGCCTACATAATGAAAACTGTAGCTAGCTATCAACATTTGTAATGCTGTCAAGCCAGATAACGTTGAATCTCAACTAAAAAAAATAAAAAATCTAGTGCCATTTGACTCAAATTCATGTTCAGCACTGTTGCCAACTACTTTCAGTGGAATATAGTTAAAGTCATACTTATAAAGTCACTAAATGTCACTAGAAGTATCATTAAGTACTGTGGTATAAAGTACTGTACCATAGAATTGCTAGTGGCCTATGACTATGTGAGCCTTGGCTACCATGCCGACCGGCTTAACACTAGTGGCCTATGACTATGTGAGCCTTGGCTACCATGCCGACCGGCTTAACACTAGTGGCCTATGACTATGTGAGCCTTGGCTACCATGCCGACCGGCTTAACAATAGTGGGATATGGCTATGTGAGCCTGGGCTACCACGCCGACTGGCTTAACTCTAATTAGATGCGCACTATGTGTAAAGTTTAATTAACAAAATGGATACACGTTGAAATCTGAGATAAGACCCCAGGACCCACCTGAGCAAATATCATAATTTAGTCATTTGATAACTGCTGTTACTTTCTCCACTTCATCAGTCCCAGCGGCAGCGTAACAGCTTGTTAATTCATGTTCATGCAATGATGAGACGGACAAAGTTAGCCGATGCATGCCATTTTACTCTCTCATGCAGATAAAAGTTGTCAAAGTTACAGTGCATAAAAACCCCTGGGTGGACTGACCTGAATGAACTAAAAAAAGCAGAACATAAATGTTCTTTCTCCATTTTCTGAATTACACAGCACAGCAAGAGCACACGTCGCAAGAGCACATTTCTCCGAGCTACACTACCCATAATGTATTTCACTCGGAACTAACTGTTACAATCGTCGATAGTGATCTTCAGCATCTCCCGCAACACTGTCATTGATATGACAGCGATAAGTGCGTGCTTCTGACGCTGTGTGCAGATGAAATCAACCACACACTCATCACAATGAAAACATCGAATTTAGAAATAACGAACGTGAACACTGGGATAATTGTCGATGTATGTGCATGTGCCCCCGTTGAAATGCATGCACAAGAATGCTTATTTCATTTAACCTGTTTCGTGTCCGTTACTATCGGCGTGTCCTCAGAGCGATTACATATGCTCTAAACTGCGTTTTGCTCCAGCTGTATTAACACAGATGCTAAATGCTGCTGCTAATATGATTAATATTCACTCTTGCATTCAATACAAACTGCTAACGTGACACTTAGTTTAAACTTGATTATGGTTGCTCATTTTTTAATTCAATTAGGCAAACCACGCAATACACACAGCGATATGGATTAGAAGAGCATTCACTTATCTTAGATGTTGATTTCGCTTTTCTGAAGCGAGCTGCAACTGCTACGGCAAGCACTAGTCATATATTTGAATGTTGAGCAGCGAGCTCATTGGCTACTGATACAGGAGAGAACCAATCAGCTGTGCCATGTGATAATGATGTCATTAGGTCAGATTGAGTTAGACCTATCGTACTGCGCCATCTAGAGTTTCATGCCAGAACTCTGTATGTATATATATATATATATATATATATATAAAACGGTTAGTTCCAGTCCTCAATTCTGATTGGTCAGCAGCTGTGTTTTATTCACTATACAGCACGGCTATGACTGCTTCACCCAATGGTTCTGTGTATCACTGAGCAACACCCTTAGCAACCACCCTTACCAACATAAACAATCAATAATATAGCATTAAAACCATTCCGTGTATTATGTATTTCGGCAAAATGAACTGTTTGTTATTTATTAAATGAAGTATGAGTGACCCGTGCCTGCTGGCGTTATGTTGCATCTTTCATCTTTAATTTTGACACCATGCCCTTCCCCCCGTCGTTTACGTGTGCCCGTGTCTGTGTGGAAGTTCACAGTTTCTGAAGTGCGGAGGGAATATTACTGTATTTATTAGTTTTATGTTTCAGGTATGATTCTGTATTTCCATATGTCCATTAGTTTACACTGTAATGACGCTTGCAAACTCGCGCTGTGCTGCGAATTGGTCTGTTTTAAAACTAAAAGACAGAAAACAGATGTTTGCTCATGCTGAGAGATAAGCAGATGTATGTGTGTGAGAAAATATCATGGTGTCAAAAAAAAATGACACAGAGGATAAGAGGAATTCCTATTCTCTGTTTTTATGTGAGCTTCAAAGGATGAGGCATGTTGCATCGGAACATTCTCTTGCCGTTTACTGTTGCTTTCAGGGACTATTTTTCTTTTAGCGGAAGGACAGTATTTAACAAACTTACTTAAAAAAGTCAAAGTAAAAAAAATTACTAGTAAAAAAAAGATTTGATGTCAAAAAAGTAAAAAAAAAAAAAAAAAAAAAGTAACATCAATACACACATTTTTAGTTTTAATATTTTTTATTGTGTGGTAACCATTTTATAAGTAAGCAGTAAGGTACGAGAGGCCATGCTGTGTTGTGAATAAGGGCTGAAGGGCATTGTTAGGCATGACGCAAGAGACTTATTCACAATACAACACAGCCTCTCGTTCCTTATTGCTCACATATATACAACTACAGACAGTTGTGAAATCTGTTTTGAAACTCTATTTCATTCCTCAATGAATAACTTTGTGACAAACATGAATTTTTATTAGTTCATGTGATTATATACTGTACATGTGCCTCAGTTTTTTAAGAATTTAGCAAATAACAGTGTTGTTAGTATGGTCTTTAAATATTTTCACTTTTAATGCATTATTAGAAAATAGCGCCATGCATAATTATGCACTGAATTAGTTGGACACTAAGTTGTGGAGTTAAGTTTTAAGTTTTGAAAATGTTCTTTATTACAAGTTAAAAAAAATAATAATAATAAAACAGAAGCATTTGTGTTTACATTACATATACATTACATTCTTTATTCTCTAGTTTACCTATGTGTTTCTTTAAGATTGTGGTAACAATATTGAAGGATCTAAACAAGGATTTAACAGAGTTTAAGAGTTAATTTTCTACACAGAGACTAATGTCTGAGTCTAAGTCCTACTAATGGTTTGGGTGTAATTCTGAATAGATGTTTGAAAGTATGCAGGAGTGTTCTTTTGTGGTTGGAATATTATGATGTAAGATTTTGGTATAAAATAACTAAAGAGAATTCCATTTATACTGGATATCTGGGCCATTGCATTCAAAATGACAATGTATTTGCTTTTGAGAGTGAGGTATGCAGTGAAATATGCAACCCAAGTCAGATAGTACAAAATGAGACTGAAAGTTATTGATTTGGACTCGTTGTAATTTTTTGGCAGATCTCTTCCCATGTAAGAAAACAATAGACACAGGAAACCTAGAAACCAACCTAAGAACACAACTATGGTTAAGGTTATAGTGTTCCCCCTTTCACAAATGAGCATAAGTTGATCTTTATAAGTCCATGAGTCTGCGACGAGTTTGACAGGATTGACAGTCATCCATATTACACAAGAAATAAAATGAATGAAAGAAGCAAATGCAACAAAGAGCCACTGGCCATTGTGTTTTACCCAAAGACTGTATACTTTAGGGAACTGAGCAGCCATTTTAAAAACACAAACAATTTGAAAGGAACGGACAGTCAAACAGGAAATAAAGACAGTGAAGAAAAATGCATATATGGCATTTCTCAGAAGGCAAAATACAAATGTGGGTTTTCCAAAGAAAAAGAACACACTTATGCTAGACAAAATCAAACTGGTCAACATGAGGAAGCACATGCTGCCACCAGCAGACTTTACCACTGGTGTATCGTAATTATAGGCAAAAAGGCAAAACATGGCAATAAGGAGCATAACTAGGCATGCGGTAGAAACCATGACAATGATGGAGGGAATTTCTGTGAACTGAGGATAGACAACAGAACGTGTCTTACACATTGCGCTGCCTTCATCATACCATTCATTCTCTGCACATGGAAAACAGGTATAGGGGTCCCCTGAAAAACAGTTAAATAATATACAGTAAATGTTTAGTATAATATTTTGGCAAAAGCAATACTAATGGTAACTGGATCTGGGAAAATATTTTGTCTTCAAATCACACTTAAAATAGCACCATAATTCTAGTAAAGTATTATGGTGATAGAATGGACTAAAAAAGCTTTAAGGGATATTCCACACCAAAAATGAACCCACCATCATGTCGTTCCAAACCTGTTTGACTTTATTTCTTTGGAGGAACATAAAAGAAGATATTCTGAAACAAGCTGACAAAACAAAACACTCTCCATTGACTTCCACTATATTGACTAAACATACAATGGAAGTTAATAGGAAGGGAAACTATTTGGTTAACAACATACTTCAAAATTTCTTCTTTTGTGTTATGTAGAAAGAAAAACAGAAATGTATATAGGTTTGGAATGACATGCAGGAGAGTAAATGATGACAGAAATTTCATTTTTTAGACTATACTTTTAAATATCAAGTTGTCATTGACTGCCACCTTAGGTACTTACGAGAAAAATTCACATAGCTGTTAGGCGGGCATTTTTTACACGTAAAACAGCAACTATGAAAACCTTCAGTTTTCATTGAATGTCCCACCTTACACTCAACAGAGCAGTTTGAGAAAGGAACCTTTAACAAACAGGAAAATGTGTTATGTGAGGTTTTCTTTAGCAGTTTTACACATTTCTATAAGCTACTATCAGTGCTCTCAAACAATACAGCCTTAAAAATGTCTCAGATTACGCATGTACAGTAACCATGGTTCCCAGAGAAGGGGAACGAGGTGCTGCATCATGGAGTTGATACTATGGCAAACTCCATCAGTGTGACCGGTGTCTGAAGCACGTGTAATCATTGGTAGACAGTAGTCCATGACGTCACAAGCGGAGCACCTATGAGTATAAAAGGGCACCTGCAACACATGTCATCAAGATCCAGACATCCAGACAAGCATCTCAACAAGGCTATTAGGGAGCAGGCTACTGATGGGAGCATTTTCAACTACAACTTTCAGTACAACCACCCTGCAGGTGTACTTTTAATCAATTTCAACAACCTAGATTAATTAGGGGAGAAAACGTAACCTCGGTTCCCTGAGATAAGGGAACGAGCGTTGCGTGAAACGCTATGGTGAAAACTCCTGTTTTACTCTGTACTGAAGCCTGATTTGTTCACGTTTGTGTAGCTGCACAAACCAATGGCGCTTTAGCCTGCCAGAAAGGGCGGAGCCGACCCCTATATAAGTCGGCTCGGAGCACTATTCATCAGATCATTCGACTGAAGTGACATTCATTGATTCGCGTGCATCTTATAGCGCGGCAAGTGACGCAACACTCGTTCCCTTATCTCAGGGAACTGAGGTTACATTAGTAACCAGAGTGTTCCCTTTCGAATGGTCTCTCCTGTTGTGTGAAACGCTATGGGGAACGCATCCAATCACACAATCTGCGAGCCCAGTCTCGGAGTGCTACTAAGGGACCCTAAGCACATTGTACCCCAAGCTAGTAGCTGAGAAGCACGAATATAACCAGCTTCGCCCAAGGGGGAAGAATGGTGATTTAAACCAAACAAACTCCTGCCTGCAAGGCAGGGATGTCCAAGTTGTAAAATCTGTCAAATGTGGATGGCGACAACCAGCCGGCAGCCGCACAAATCTCAACAATAGAAACTCCACTGGACCATGCCCAGGAGGAGGCCATCCCTCTTGTGGAATGGGTCCTCACACCTATAGGGCATTGTAAGCCTTCTGAGGCATAAGGCAAGGCTATTGCATCTACGATCCAGTGAGAAAGTCACTGCTTTGTAGGCGGCAATCATTTATGGCGACCTCCAAAGCAAACAAAAAGCTTCTCTGACAGGCTAGAGCGCTCTAGGTATACTCTCAGAGCCCTCACTGGACAGAGCATGTTCGGACCCTGCTCACCATCTGTAATGGGGAGCGCCAATAGGGAGATCACCTGAGCTCTTAATGGAGTTGAGAACACTTTAGGAACATAACCATGGCTTGGTTTTAGAATTACTTTACAGTCATTATGTCCAAACTCAAGACATGAGGTGCTGATTGACAGGGCTTGCAAGTCACCCACTCACTTAACCAATGCCAAAGGTAGGAGGAGGGCCCTCTTTGGGCCCGCAGGACTATAGACAAGTCCCAAAACGGCACAGTCTGAGGGCGAGGAGGATTCAGCCTCCGTGCGCCCTTCAAGAACTTAACGATCAGGTCGTTTTTGCCGATTGACTGGCCAGCTTCGAGAGAATGGTTCACTGCGATAGCTGCCACATACACTTTGAGCGTGGAAGGGGCGCGCCCCTTATCCAGCAGCTCCTGCAAAAAGGTTAGCACATGGGACACGTCACATGATATCGGGTCCAAACTTCGTGCAGAGCACCAGTTAAGGAAGACCGACCATTTTAGGCTGTAAAGGCGTCTTGTAGATGGCGCTCTTGCCTCCAAAATGGTATTGCTTATTCTTGCTCGAGGCACCATACATGAAGGCTCCACAGCTCCGGACGGGGATTCCAAATAATGCCTTTTGCCTGCGAGAGAAGGTCCCTTCTCAGTGGAATGGGCCACGGGGCTGCTGCTGAGAGATGCACTAGCTCTGGGAACCAGGCCTGGTTCCTCCAGAGCAGGGCCACTAGGAGGAGAGAACACTTGGTCTCCCTGACCCGCCTGATGACCTGAGGAATCAGGGCGATTGGGGGAAATGCGTACAGGCGAGCAGTGGGCCAGTCATGGGCCAGAGCATCTCACTGTATCGAGAAGTATGTTGGGCAGTGAGAGTTGTCTTCTGAGGCGAAGAGGTCGACCTCTGCCCTCCCGAAGACTGACCAGATCTTTTGAACTGTTTGAGGATGTAGCGCCCATTCGCCCGGGGCTACCTTGCCTTCAATCTGCCTCATCTGGCACATGAACCGCCCTTAAAGAGAGGAGTTCTTTTTGTGCCCAAAAGAGGAGGCGACGAGCCATCCTCTAAAGAGTGTGTGACCTGAGACCGACTTGGTGATTGATATAGGCCACCACCGTCATGCTGTCCGACCGGACCAGGACGTGGTGCCCTTTTAAGGCCGGTAGGAAGGTATTCAGGGCTAATAAAACCAACTAAAATGCCAACATCTTTAGGCAGTTTATATTGCAGGCATTGCTACGGGACTGACCAGGAGCCGAACACCGGATTGCCCTCCAACAGGGCGCCCCAACCCGAGTCGGAAGCATCCGTTGTGACTACCTTCCTTCTGCAGGTCAGCCCTAATCTCATTCCTTTTTGAAAGAGGTGACAGGTTGTCCAGGGGGCCACAGCCTTGATACAGTGGTGGTCTACCCTGACAGGAAGCCACCCCAGGCGCCAGGCATGGGGTGGAATACGGGCTTTGAGACAAATCTGAAGGGGCCGCATGTGAAGCAGGCCCAGAAGAATTACAGAGGTGGCGGCCACCATAGGGCTGAGTTACCGCTGGAAAACCTTCAGGGGGCGTGTTGTCCCCGATTTGCGAGATGCCGCTAATCACTGAATGGTCAGGGATCACTCCGGTGTAATCCATGCCCGCATTTGGGCAGAGTCTAAAATTGTTCCCAGAAAGACAGCTCACTGTCTGGGCAACAGCTGACTCTTGTGCGGGTTGATGACCAACCCGAGGCGCTCTAAGTGACTGAGTAACAACTCTCTGTGAGCGGCCAGCTCCCGTTCTGATCTGGCTAGAACCAGCCAATCGTCGAGGTAGTTCAAAATACGGATTCCCATCTGCCTCCGAGGTGAAAGAGCCGCATCAATGCACTTTGTGAAAGTGCACGGGGCCAGAGACAGTCCAAATGGAAGGACTGCATATTGACAGGCCACTCCCTCGAACATGAATCTCAAGAACGGTCTGTGATGGGGGGCTATGTGGATGTGAAAGTATGCATCTTTCAGATCCACTGTCAAAAAGCAGTCCTTGGGGAAAATGTGCACGAGGATCTGTTTGATATTTAACATCTTGAACGACCGGCGCATAATCGAGTGGTTCAGATGTATGAAATCCAGAAGGGGTCTGAGCCCGCCATCTCTATTTGGAACGAGGAAGTAGCGGCTGAAAAAGCCTGACTCGCTGTTCGCTGGGGGCACTAATTCCACAGTGCCCTTTGCAAGCAATGTCTGCACTTCTTGTCGGAGAACGAGTGCTTCGTTGTCAGGGACAGAAGTTTGAATAACGCCATTGGTTTGTGCAGCTATACAAACGTGAACAAATCAGGCTTCAGTACAGAGTAAAACAGGAGTTTTCCCCATAGCGTTTCACGCAACAGGATAAACCATTCGAAAGGGAAATCATCAGAATCAGTATGAGCTTTTATTTGCCAAATTCCGGTAAACACACAAGAAATTTGTGTACCCTGACTTGAGTAAAGGCACTTCTCCAGGACTCATTATAGTTAATGGTAAATAATAAAATTCTTTATGGACAAAGAGGGATACCATTCCAGGGATACAACTTGTTTGTAATACTGATTGTCTGGAGAGACCTATGGAAACACCCTACCAAAGGGGAGCATGCATCCCTTCTTCAAAACCTAACACCAGCTGGGGAGGGAGGTAAACGAAACAGAGAGAGTCACCCATCATTGTTCTGTTTACCCTGCTCTACCCTAAAGGGGTACTTAAGCAGCCTACCAAAGGGTGCATGCAAGGTGCTAAAAACCTAAGTAATTCATACTACACCCTTCAATGTTACCACTCCTCTAAGAAGGGGGCATACATCCTTACCCTTACTCAGGAAAGGGAGGTAAATGAGAGGATTTAATGCTGTTTGCACAGTAACTCTCATCACCCACGCTCTAAACCCTAAAGGGAGCCACAGGGGAGCTTTGGTGTAGGTCCCCAATGCACCTAGGGGAGAGCAGCTCAACCCTGCCTTGAGTAAGGTGACCAGACGTGCCACTTCCCGGGGACACGTTCTGCGCAGGATTTCTAAATTGCCTAAACCAGGTGTTGGTTGATTGCGCTGCGCCAATCGATCGTTGTATGACATCAAATTACTGCGAGAGCTAGAGAGCAGAGCAGAAAGCTCCATGCTTTCGAATCGCTCTCGCTGTACTTTGATGTCATACAACAATCAATCGGCACAGCACAAACAACCTACTAGGGATATGCCGGTATCAAATTTTCATGTTGCGGTTAATTGCTAATGCTTTTATAACGGTATACGGTATTATCACGGTATTGACATTTAGTTTAAAAAAAGTGCTGTCATAATACAGTATAACAGGTTTAATAACTTTTTTCTTATAACAAAAATAACTGAACATTTAAATGCAATAAAGCAATACAGAAAAATGTATAAAGCTAAAAGTTTTACACAGATTAAAGTGCAAAAGCACTATAAAGACCAATAGGTATCCCATTACAATAAAACCATATTAGTTAACCTTAGTTAATGCATTAACATTCACAATGAGCAATAGCTACATTTGCTACAGAAGTTATTAATTATTAGTTATTTCCGCCATGTGCTTCTCGTCCGCGCTTATTTACATCAGAGTGCGCATGCGTCTTTCACGCAGCATACAGCGGTGTTGTGCATTTTGACCAGTTGATGGGAAAAGTATTCTTAGAATGCATTCAAAATTCTGAATAACTTGTAATTTATAATTATTCACGGTATTTAGAAGAGCCCACGATAACAATATCGTGCATATTCGTTACCGTGATATATCGCATTACCGAATACCGGCACAAGTCTACAACCAACACGTGTTTATTTTAGGCAATTTACAAATCCTGTGCAGAGCGTGTCCCCGGGAAGTGGCATGTCTGGTCACCTTAGCCTTGAGTAAAGGCACTGAAATATGGCCATAAAAAACATACAGAAGAACTGGGTGAACACTTTTGAGAAATGGATGTGGTAGACAAGTTTTTGCTATAAAATGATGTAAAAATAATCGTGTTCATCCATTAACAGAAAACAATATATTGATTTAATTTTTGTAAGACATGTTTTGTTAGAAAGGCCGTATGTGAGGGAGTGACAATGTTTTTTTAATTCGAATGTGAATGTAACTCCATATATACAACAATTTAAACCGAAAAGTACTTTCACACCAGTAGTTCATAATTATTCAGTGAATACTTTCTGTAGACTTGTAGAAAATGATGTGGAAAAATTATTACAAGAACCTAGTGATGAATTGTACAAGAAAATAAATTTAACAAGAGTACAAAGAGAAGCTTTATCAGCATTAACAAATGATCCAACTTTGACTATTCAATGAGCAGATAAAGGTGGAGGGATTGTGGTTATGAATACTAATACATACGTTGAGAAAATAAAAGGGATGTTACATGATGAGACATTTTATAAGAAACTTGTATTTAACCCGACTGAGTCCTATAAAAAAAAACAAATTGACCAAGTTTTACAAATAGGATTAGATAGGAAATGGATTAATGAACAAGAATTAAAATATTTAAAAAATGAATATCCTAGGATTCCGATGTTATACACTTTACCTAAAATTCATAAATCGTTAGAAGATCCTCCAATGCGACCAATTGTCTCAGGGAATGGGTCATTGACAGAAACCTTATCTAAATTTCTTGATTCTTTGATTCAACTGATAGTGAAAAAACTGCCATCCTATTTAAAAGACACCACTGATTTTTTGAATAAATTGAATCAAATTCCTTGCATAAGTATGACGGATTGGCTTGTAACACTTGATGTCACTTCACTTTACACTAATATACCTCATGAAGTAGGCTTGGATGCACTAAAATTTTACTGTAAAGATGATGACAGCAGAGTACCATCACAATATATAGTGGACCTTACAACATTAGTTTTAACCAAGAACTATTTTTTATTTGAGCGAGATTTCTATTTGCAAGTACAAGGTACAGCAATGGGCACTCCAATAGCACCAAATTATGCGAATTTATTTATGGGTAAATTTGAACAAGATCATGTCTATAATAACAATCCATTTCAGCCAAATATTAAGGTTTGGATGCGATATATAGATGACTGTTTTATGATTTGGTCAGGTTCTGAACAGGAATTAGAATTATTTGTGTCTTTCATTAATTCGAAAATTACATCAATCAAATTTACAATGGAAAAAAGTTGTGATACGATACAATGAGTCATTACATACAACGGTATTTCTAAAATTAAGTTATCATCCAGCTCCTTTAAAACATAGTTTACCGATTAGTCAATTGCATATATTAAAACGTAATTGTATTACAACACATGAATTTGATGAACAAGTAAAATTGCTATTTCAACGATTTCATTCTAAAGGGTATCCACAAAGCTGGTTAAATAATGTATTAGATAAGGTTAATAAATTGAATAGACATGATCTTTTGAAAATAGATAAACCCATTAAAAAACAAAGACCATTTTCAGTAAATTGTTCATTGACATACAATGAGCATAGTAATACAATAAAATCAATTATTTATAAATATTGGCACATATTATCATCTGATGAATCTCTAAATGAGAAATTTCAATATCGTCCATCATTCACTTTTAAAAGATCACGAAATCTATCAGATATGATGGTAAACTCGGATGTAGTAAGGAGGAAAAAGTCTGCTTATATACAAGGCTGTTTGCCGTGTAGAAACTGTGCCGCTTGCAGGAATTTGGTCAAGTGTAAAGAGTTTATATGTCCAGTAACATGGAAACGTTTTAAAATCACATCTTGTATTACCTGTTCAACTCGTAATGTGATCTAGACGTTAAAATGTCCCCGTCAAAAGATATATATAGGAAAATCTTTGCATCAGTTGAAATTATGAATTAATGAACATAAACCTAGTATACGACGACAAGACATAACCTCTCCAGTAGCGAGACATTTTAACGAATTGGGACATGACATCAAGCAATTGGAATGTATAGGAATAGAGGAAGTTTTTGGGTCACGTAGAGGAGGTAATATAAATAAAGAACTATTGAAACGAGAAGCATTTTGGATTCATAAACTTAAATCACTGAACCCAAATGGCATGAATGAGGAATTAGATCTGTCTGTCTTTCTTTAATGAACTATGGTTGGTCGTATTCATTTTTAATATTCTATATAATAAATTGAGTATTTACAGTGTGAAAAACAATGATTGTTTATCACGACGTATTTCTGATGTTTTTAATTATTGAATTTTCCATTGTTATACAATTTAAAGTTAATTGGTGGAGTAGATATTGATGATGATTGATAGGATAAACTATAGGTTTGTATAATAGTGATAAATATGTGATCCTAAATAACTATTGTTTTAGTAACGGGTAGATTGTGAGGTGTACTAGTGGATGTGACGTTTTGTGTTGGATATATATATGTAAATTGTCCAGGGTTTAAGTGGAAATGATTTAATGATTGTGGTAATTGAACATTGGCTAATGAATGATGACGTCAATATAATTAATGATATGAAAAGTGGGTGGAGGGATTGCATTGCTTTACACACTGAGGAAGGCTTTGAGCCAAAACGTTTGTGTCTTTTCCCATCAGTAATGAATGTAAAATAAAAGAAAAAAGAGGATTGTTCTCGTGAGTGTGGATCATAATTTCATATAGGGAGTGACAATGACCATGAATATTTACCTGAGAGACAAAGGACCATCCCCTAATAGGCCATCAGAGTGACTGATATTTAAGAGTTTAGTGTTTAAGTGTTTGCTGTATATATATATATATATATATATCAAAATAACTCATTTTTGAAAATTTGCTCATTATGACTCATTTTGCCTGCACGGGTCAACACATTATTTTCCACATACTGTACATTATTGTTTCTCCTCTATGCCCCGCCTTTCTGAAAAGCGTCGATTTTTACAAAGCTCATAATTGTGAAAAGCGTGGTGTGCTCTTATTGGCCTGCTTTTCAGTGCATTGTGATTGGCCGAATACCTCAAGCATGTGACGGAAATGTTACGCCCATTATCATACGAGAAAAAAACAATCCATTATAAACTAAGCATTTGTTGCATCCAGTGTGGACATAATTACTGATTATAATGACTTATACTGTCTTTTTACCCATTGCATCGTGCTGCGTAAACATAAATGTCTGCATTTGTGCTCAGAGAAACAACAAACAATAAGCGCTACTCTACACTGCTCAAAACTCACGTTTGAATAGTCAGTGGCAAATCCTTTAAATATGAAAACATACTTACAGGCTGTTAGTAAAATGCACCAGACTGTCCTTGCAAAGTTGGAATTGCCCCACTTTATAGAAACAGCCTTTGTGCACAGCCGGCATTGTAGGCTACTCTCCCAGGTTCAGGAAATAGTCCTCCGTAAAAATGCACTGCACACACTCGAATGTTTGGTTTGGCCTGTTCTGGAACAGTGTTGTAAATACAACTGATTTCTAGTTGTGTCCTCTTTTGGAAGGCCAAACAAAGTAGTTTCGCTTTCACAACGAAACAAACAGCGTCTCCATGACATGGCGGCAGCGGCAACAATACTACAGCAAGAATAAAAGTCACACCTTCTTTCTTTGCGTATACATTTGGGCAGTGTTATGCAAATCGTCCCACACAGTGATGTAGACATGTGGGGGCGTGTTTAAATGAGGCGTTTTAGGAAAGTGTGGACGAGTCTTAACTTTTATAAAGAATATCTCTTTGGGTTTGAGACTTTAGTGTTTGCAACTTTACGGATCTTATCTATGCACAAACAGCTTGTAACACTCCAAAGACAAAGGAAAACTTGAAATCACATAATATGACCCCTTTGACATTGTCAAACCATGGCCATAGTAGAACACCATCCAAATGGGAGTGATATTCATACTTAAAGACCCAACAATAGTTGAGGAGGGAGGTAAACAAAGTAGAGATAATGTATTTGCTTTTGAGAGTGAGGTATGCTGTGAAATGCTCTGGCAACCCTGGAAAAAAGATGCTTCAGGATATCAGAGTGGAGCAAGAGAGATGCCAGAGACAATCAACCTTCGCCCACGCCCACAGCCACTCTCACCTTGGGGGCAGGATGTCCTCAGACATATGTCCATCCTACAACCTGATCTTAAGTATTGTTGCCAAAATGCACTAACATGCATAATCAATCACGCACTGCTCAGCATGCAATATGAAACAAGCAACAAAAAGAGTGGTTTTCAATTCTTTTTTTTTCTTTGAACCAAAAACCTGCTCCATTACTGTGCCAAATCGACAATGGTTGCTTTCAGTCCTCTGTCAGGAGGGGGCCACTTCTTCAGCCCTCACAGAGCCCCAGAGAGGGATATATCTCCTGAAAGCTGCTCACTGAGATCCCATATTTGTACGCTTTCCTAAAACTTCCTCATTGGCTGACTGAAGAGGTCAGTATGGGAGATCAAAGCATCAAGGAGAAAGATTTGTCCTTTCTGTATATCACAGATGCTCCTCCATAGCAGCTATAGCAACCACAGAATAGCTGATACAAGTCAAGTCAAGTCACCTTTATTTATATAGCACTTTTAACAATACAGATTGTGTCTAAGCAACTGTACAGCATTCATTAGGAAAATAGTGTGTCAATAATGCAAAGTGACAATAGTAAACACTCATTTTTCAGTTAAAGGCAGTTCATCATTGAATTCAGTGATGTCATCATCCAGCTCAATTCAGTTTAAATAGTATCTGTGCAATTAAGTCAACGATATCGCTGGAAATGAAGTGTCCCCAACTAAGCAAGCCAGAGGCGACAGCAGCAAGGAACCAAAACACCATCGGTGACAGAATGGAGGAAAAACCTTGGGAGAAACCATGCTCAGTCGGGGGGCCAGTTCTCCTCTGGCTAGACGAAACCAGCAGTTCAATTCCAGGCTGCAGCAAGTCACATTGTGCAGAGGACTCAATTGGCTCCTGTGGTCTTGTCCCGGTGGCCGTCTGAGACAAGGTCTTTACTGGGGATCTGTATCTGGGGCTCATCTAGTTGTCCTGGTCTCTGCTGACTTTCAGGGCTGTAGAGGTGCTGGTCCACCATCTTGTCTGGATATGTACTGGATCCACTGCAGATACACGGGTCATGTGCTTTGTGGCATGGATGACTAGATCTGTAGCTTGACCAGATTTTTATTATTTTTTTGTTTGAAAGCATCTGCTTCTACCCTGCTCACCTGCAACCGCATGATTGAAGCTGCCGTGCGGCTTTAGCAGACATTGGACCTGAACCGCAAGATGCAAAATACCTGAGTTTCATTCTTTTTTTAACAAGAAAAAAAGGGGGAAAAATGAGAGGAGAGCTCCCTCCCGACAAGCTCATCACAGTGAGTGCACTCAGCTCCTTTAAGAGTCAAATGCGCTCACTCTATTGGCAAGGTGTAAGGTATAAAAAGGCTCACTAAGGCCCTGTCCACACGAACGCGGTTATTTTTAAAACCGCAGCTTTTTCTACGCGGTTTGGCCGTTTGTCCATACGCAAACGCAGCACCAGGTTACTGAAACCAAACATTTTTGAAAACGCCTGCCAGGGTGAAGATTTTCAAAAACTCCGTTTGCAGTGTTGTCATGTAGACAGCGAAACCTGAGTTTTTGGCTTGTGACGTCGGAGCCTGCGCTGTTATCTCCGCCTACTGGAAACTTTTTCAGGCTTCTGATTGGCCAACATGGCTTTACAGTTGAGATTATATCGCCACCTGTTGGTTTGGCATGCTCTTGACAGTGCTTCATAGCATGCCTTCGCGTTTTCATGTGGACGGAGATTTTTTTAAAAACGGAAGGAAAAGCTATAAAAATACCCGTGTACGTGTGGACATGGCCTAACTTATGTATGGGCCGACAGCGGAAGTGGATTGTTAAAAACACCTGCCTCAACTCTCTCTTTATCTAATTCCTCAGAATTTGACATGCCACATTTAATCAGTCAGGTTGGAAGAGTGGCTTCCTCAACCAGCATGAAAGCAACAGAGCTAGTTGGGAAAGTTCAAAAAGGAAAACACTCCTGTCAGACTCCTCCCCCAATGATTACTAGTAGGGCTGCCCCCTAATAGTCGACTAACCGTTAGTCGACCAGAAGAGGCTTGGTTGACCAAAATTGTATTAGTCGCTTAGTCGCAGAAAAAAAAATCCACATTGGTCATAAAGCCTAGAGAATTGGTCATAGAGCCTAGAGAAATGTACGCTGTTCAAGTGTGCGGAGTGTGGAAGCTGAACAGCAGCGCGCTCACTCGTTAACAGCTGGTCTTTTTGGTAATACATTCATTGACCTCAAATATGTTAGTAGCAGCAACTTTACATGGCCACTCAATCTAATGTTAACCTAGAGAAATGTGCGCTATTCAGTGTCTGTGTGGAAGCTGAACAGCAGCGCGCTCACTGCAGGACAGATGGAGGCACCGTTGCAGTCACTTGCTCTTAAAATACTCCCTCATTTTTGGTCATACAGATAAGAGTAATACAGCTTTTGAATCTGTAAAGACTATATGTTTATTTGTGTGCACTCACAATAACAACAAAACATTGCACTTTTGTAAAATAATGAAAGCAAACAGGATGCACTTTTTGCCATCTCAGTCTCTGCGAACTTAAGCGTGAAACTCCGTGTATGCTTGCCTTACAGATAACTATAGAGAGTGAAATGCCTTCTTTCAAATTAACCAATTCAAATGGAAAACAATATTCTCAGATTGTGTAATCCATATGAAACATGCATACAGGAGCATCCACTACTGCGGAGATGACGAGTCAGTGTCGCCGACTTCATCTCTTAAGCCGAAAACAAAGAAAGCACTATAGTTTAGTTTATATAAGTAATTTTATAATGTTAATGCAGCCTCCTTACTGTTTTTTATTAATTCTGCCGGTGTGTTGTGGCGAGCTTTATGCACGCTTTGAGTGCTTATTAGGCTACGTAGGCAGTAAAAGGCTCATATATATGATTTAAATGCTTTATTAATAAATGTGCAATTAGTCGACTAATGCTTCAAATGAACGACTACTAGTCGACCAGAAAAATCTTTAGTCGAGAGCAGCACTAATTACTAGTGTGTTTACATGTGCTTCAGACACCGGTCATAGTGATAGCATTCCCTATAGCGTCATCTCCATGACGCAGCGTTGAAGTTAAGCTTCAAAAGGGAAATGAACACAATGCAATTTCCATAAACTGACTATAAATTACAAAATACAAATTACAATTACCTCAAACACACACAAATTCTTAGACCTTGCTTTTATAACTGTCAACAGACAACTAAAATAAGGCCATACAGACCTTATTGAAATGGAATCAAATTGATATATGCTGCATGGGTTAGTAACTTAAGTAGATAAAACTTAAGATGGAAGGAAATTCTTTGTATTTGAACAATTGTCAAATATTTCATAGCCCAAAGAAACATTGGGTAGAAGTGTGGTGGAGTTTTTAATCTCCTCAACAGCAAACCTCACTCACTCATCATGACAATAAATTGTTTTGCTAAAGTAGAAGTTTGTTAATAGATCTTCATTTGGACAAACATATAAAATTCATTGAGAAAAACTTTTAGATGAAGGCTCAACAAAAAAGACTTACATAACCATTGTTATGCCAGCGAATGAGAGACTTGTCAATGGTAAAAGAAATTTCTGGATGTTTCTCATATGAGCCCACCATCTCAAACTGTGGAGGATTCACATCAGTGCGCCAGAGCACAACTGCATAACTGATAGTTGGATCATAATTATCATCGTACTTCACCTGACGGCCACTGAGTGGAAAATCCAATTTCTTTATCTCTCCCAGAAGCTGTTGTAAAGTGTGTTCAAATAAAAAAGACAAATAATTTATGATGCTATTACTATATTATTAATATTATATTATATTGCATTATATTATATTATATTATATTATATTATATTAACATTACTATAACATTAATTAAATTAATATTACTTTTGTTTTACTCATTTATAAAAATATATACTAATAAATAAAATAAAGTAATAAAACAATATAATGTACAATATGT